ACTTTTTAAATAAGGAGCTGTGCGCATTAAACGCTCATCTGGGATCTACTGAAACAGTAGCGGAGCGCTGCTTCCACCCCGGTGGCAGCTGACACCCTAACGTGATTTAATAGGCTCTTTGATGTTGTCCAAAGTGCCTGGCACGCAGACCACATACTGCGAGGCCTCATGTGGGTTATTTCTGGAATTAAAAAATCGACAGCAGCACGGCAGGAGCGCAGTGTCCAGTTTAGCTGCGGGCTAGCGTTACTCTGGTGAACTTGGCCAGAGATGGAGAAAGATGAGATCTCCTGCTGGGATCAATAGTAATGGCCTTTACAGACACAACACAGGGTAAATATTTGCCCCAGTCCTGGTTTTCCATTCTTGAATGGTTTTCATGTTTTTCATTCGCATCTACTTATCGACAGTTTGTAACCAACACAAACGTAGCTTTTGACTTTATTACGATATGTGGTTATGTTTGGCTAGCTACTATGGTTCTTTTAAAATGATAACACAGGGGCACATGGATCCTATGGATGCTATGTATCCGTACGTTGTTTAGCCACTGGAACCACTGGTACGAAAGAAATAAGAGATAAATGAGGAATTAAGAAATAATCCAGTCAGAAAGTCATTATCAGATACACTTGTTAATATTTTTTCTGGAGATAAATGCATTTGCAGACAGAATACTTTTTAAATGTGCTTTTTTATTTTGAGTAACATTTAAATGGTTCAATATTCATAAAGACAGCTAGGAATGTGTGCTGGTCCATCCTTAAAAGCACCACTTCACTATCATTGCTAAATCATAACCCATCTACATCTTTTTTTAAATCTCCTGTGGAATATTTTAAAGTCTGCAATGTTCTGTTGTTGCACCACGTCCGTTTATTGTCATGGGGACAAACCTAGAAGGCCAGTTTTAGTAGGTTTAATTCAGGAAACATTATTTTTGTAAAACGACTCCAGTGTCTGTTTTTTTCGTTCATATGCAAAACTCCCAATTGTTGAGAATTCGAGGTCAAAGGAATGAGGTCTCATTGAACCTGGGTTTTTCACCACAAGGCAGTTGTGTTCCTGTATTCTCTCATCGTCTTTGTCCCAGAGAATATATCTTCAGTGTTAAGACATAATTTCTTCATTCTTTCCACACCTGCTTCTTCATACAGCTGTGAAGACCATGATATCTAAACCACCATTTCCCTTAGCTTCTTGGCTGTGTTGCCTAAATATTAGACATTTGCTGTGACGTCTCTGACGGTACAGCGCTGACTTGCATTATGATATGACACGTTTTTATATCTTCAAATGCCATTATATGTAAATACACTTGCTGGAGCAGCTCAAATAAATGATTAAATAAAATTGTCATTGTTGTAAGAAACATCTTCTGCTGTTTTTTTTTTATGTATTCTGTTTTAAGATTTAAGGGTATTATCCAGTGGGTTACGATACAAGGGCCGATGGTATTTATTCTAAGGTGTTCCAGGTGATAATACAATTGAAATAGCATTTCCTGCTTTCCATTTAACTAACAGTGTGCAAATATTCTTCTGCAGCAAATTCCAGCACTTTGTTTTATCCCAGTGTTGTATGATTTAGCTGAGCCTTAAGAAACCCGCACGGTTTTCTTTCAAATCCTTGTTAAACAGAGAATTATACCAAGGCATACAGGGATTTCTGATAACTGATTGTTCTATGAGTGAGGGATAGAAATGGTAACATTTGCCCATCATTATTATTACACTCAGGAGTCAATGAATATTAATGAGCGAGTGCACGCTCGTGGGCATTGGCCAGTTTAAACAAGAATAGGCTTGAAGAGGATTCCTTAGTGACATGGTGTTGAATGGTGTCTAGTGTTCTCACTGGTTTGCCTCTAAATATCTTGTGCCTTGTTCTATTCCCCCCCTGAACTTTCGGAAAAGCCAGACAATGTTTGAAATCTATTCCACACTATGCATTTCAGCAATTTCCTGCTTTTGACCTCAATTGGCCTGATGAGACATAAAATAATTTTTTTCCCCTACATGTAATTAGAGCATCTTATTGTCATTATTTATATGCACAAGAGGATTCCTTAGT